ATTATTATGGCCGGTAAAACAGGACGGTCCGGCATCCTCTTAATGCATTATGGTTACGATCGCGGGAAACCTAAAAAATTCGTACATACGATAAACTTATTTCCCCAAGTACTCACGTTTCAGCTGGACGAAGGTGAGCTGATCGATGGCGCGTCGCAGCGGTTTGTCGTCCAGGGTGAGATCCAGCAACGGCAGACGGGCGATTTCCTGGACACCCTCGGCGCCGCCCCAGGAGCCGGCGGCGGTCGCCGCCCGTACCGACAACATGCCACCGATCTGTAAAAAGGCCGCGCTGTCCGTCTCCTTCAACGCCTCTATGCAGAAGGTGAGCAACGCCGTGGTTGTCTGCAGATGCGTGGCACATCTGGCCACTTGGTCACGCAACGAGCGTACCCTGGCCTCGCGGGTTTGCCGAGCGGCCTCGATCAGTCGCGACTTTCTCGCCTGCAGGAGGCTCACCAGATTCGCCACCCGATCCTCGACCTCTCCCTCGAGCGCCACGCATTCCTCCTACGAACAGCGGGATCGGTCCGCTTGATTATGATATCGGGAAATAGCTCATCTGAACGATAAAAAGGAATTTTTTGCGAGATGAGAGATTTTTCTCGCTAGATTCTGTACGTAGGAAAAAATTATGTTCTGCTTCGATCGATATATTCAGTGATATTATATCGTTTTTGCATAGCTCATTTTTTTCCATCTCTCCGAAAAAGTTTGTCACATCGGAATCTTTGTAAAAATACAATGATAACTTTTTTATCAGGAAATATCTCTCTATAAAATTTACTTCTATAAATTTCGAATCTCTGTTTTTCATAAAACTCTCTTTTTCATAAAAGTCTTTACCTTCAAAAGTATCGCGTGTACTTTTTATATCACGTATACACATATGAATCTAGAAGAAAAGCTTGTACAAGACAGTATCGTGAACGAGAAACACGATATCAAATTGATTATTCCGCTTAGCAAAATACGAACGGATGAAAAATGAAAGAAATTTCATTTTCCGGCTTTTGTTCCATACATGTAAGTGAGATAAGCCGTGACGGTGTCCTTTGTACATCCGAATTATCCCTTCGGCCATCGGAAATGAATCCGCGCCGGTGTTGTAGGGCT